ATCGGTGGGCGGGGCTAAACAGACAGTGATGTAAAATCGGTGGGCAGGGCTAAACAGGCAGCAGTGATGTAAAATCGGTGAGTGGGGCTAAACAGACAGTGATGTAAAATCGGTGGGCGGGGCTAAACAGGCAGTGCTGTAGAATCGGTGGTCGGGGCTAAACAGGCAGAGATGTATCATCGGTGGGCAGGGCTAAACAGGCAGATATGTAGCATCGGTGGGCAGGGCTAAACAGGCAGATATGTAGAAGCAGGCATTGATCTTCTACTGTGGAGGCGGTGCTTATCCACACTATTACATCATAGAGTATAACATTCCACAAGCTGTGGTTTTGGCAGACTGCCTTCAACAGAAGCTGTTTTTAACGACAAAGTTTTGAGTTCTTAAACTTACAAGATGGTTTTAAAGTACAATTGACTCTTATATGTCAAACGATCAAGGGAATTTTGGTTTCTCAGTTCATGACCCCTTTAAATTTCAACTTTTACACGCAGCGCCGCTTCATCAGTGTCAGTTCCAAAACAGTGGACCAATCAGAAGAGCCCAGAGGCGGGGCAAGCGTTGCAAGCTTTTGTTTACAGTAGCACACTGTTTTTTTTTTTTTTTTAAACATTCCTGAGCGCTGCGTCTCGCAATTTTAGATGCAAACACGCCTTCTGTGTGAACGGGCCATAAGTTTTCAATACTACTTCAGTTTTTCTACTTTAAAATCTCACAATCAATGTCTTACACTGTACAGGTTTTATTAAGGTTAATTTAAGTTAACCTTAAGTTTAATGAACATGATGTCTCAATGTTATTAGAAACAATCTCCTCCATTTCTAATGGATTCAGAAAAATCAACTTATGTAAAAGAAAAACAAGTTTTGGCAGATATTTGTTCTTGTTTTAAGCATAAACTCACTTCATTTTAATCAGTTTCTCAGAAAAATCATACCTTCAATTACTTCTCCAGTTAAAGTATCTTGATTTAAGGATGTTTAGATATTTGAACTGGAAAACAAAACAGAAATACTGAGGAATATCAGCATTTTTTGCATTTAATGTCATGACTTTATGAACTTTCTGTTCTGATCTTTAAAGGCCTTCATTTGTCAAAAGGTGAAAATCATTTCAAATTAGATCATATACCAATTTTTTTCAAATGTGATGTTAACATTTAATGAATGGCCATATTCATTATCACAGACAGTTTGTTTATGTGTCATAGATTAAATATTGCATTGTTTATTCATTTAATATATGATAGTGATAATACGAAATAAAATATTTACTAATATATACTGAGAATATCTAAGCAGATTTAAGAGTGCCATCGAATGACATCCAGTCAAGATAATAAACATGAGCTTTAAACACAAATAACATACTAATAATAATATAATATACTAATAATATACACAAATTATTCAAAGTCTGAGCAGAAACTCTGTAACTTGCGTTATAATTACAGATGAAGTCACATAATCACACAGTCTTCAGGTTCACTGATAATAATTACACTGGAAAGTTCCTGCAATACTTGCAGTTTAACATTTAAAAACTGTAAATGTAAGCTTTTTAAACCCATTTTAACAAAGCCACATCATATTTTATAATAATAATAACAATAATAACACTGGAATTTTCCTGCATACTTTCACTGAAAAATTCTGGGTGTAAATATGTTTTAAGGCTATTGAAACATTTTAAATAAAGCTATATCACCGGATTTATAATAATAATATTAACAAAACTAATGCTAATAATATCCTAATAATAATAATAGCAATAATAACAATGTGACCCTAGACCACAACGGGTATATTTGTAGCAAAAGCCAACAATACATTGTATGGGTCAAAATTATAAATTTTTCTTTTACTCCAAAAATCATTAGGATATTAAGTAAAGATCATGTTCATGGATATTTTGTAAGTTTCCTACCATAAATATATCAAAACTTAATTTTTGATTAGTAATATGCATTGCTAAGAACGTCATTTGGACAACTTTAAAGGTGATTTTCTCAATATTTAGATTTTTTTGCACCCTCAGATTCCAGATTTTCAAATAGTTGTATCTCGGCCAAATATTTTTCTATCCTAACAAACCATACATCAATGGAAAGCTTATTTATTCAGCTTTCAGATGATGCATAAATCTCAATTTCAAAAAATGGACCCTTATGACTGGTTTTGTGGTCCAGGGTCACATATTATGCTATTATTATAAAATAAATGTTTCATTTCCTGTGTAACATACAGTGAAAGCAGACTGATGCACACACACACACACACACACACACACACACACTCTCTCAGCTGTGTGACCCAGTTTCGCCTGCAGGAATATCGGAGCAGATTCTGGTCGTGTACCTCGTATCAGTTGCTGCTGATATCAGACACACAGAAACAGAAGAGACACGAACCGATTTAATGACGCGCGCGTGTCTAATTAACGCCTCGCGCTCGCCGCAGACCCGAACGCTCATTTGCGTGAATGCAAAGAACAAACTCACCTGAATGACGATGATGGTGATGATGAAGCACAGCGATAAAACCCAGCGGAGAGCAGAACTCATGTTCGGTCGGGAATCGATCGGGCTCTTTGATTCCCAGCGTCGCGCATCCGAACAATAGCGAGCAATCGAACAGCGATTGGAGCGCCGAACCGAGCCGAAGATGAACGAGTGGAGCTTCCGCCGTCAGAGCGCGAGCGTTTCGTCCATCCGCCGGTTCCGTGCGCTCGGTATCGGGTCTGTGGTTCGGATGAATGATGGAGACCCACCGAGGCTCTAATGAAGCGCAGCAGCGGGTTTCTGTCTCTCGGGCCGCGTCTCAAATCCTCCGGTGGGCCCTAACTAGGGTGCAGCGTTAGTGGGCGCAGCGCCTGTGTCTCCCTCAAAACGCCTCGTGCGCCAGCGACGCCCAAACGCTGTGCACTATCTAGACAGCTGAGCGGGATTTGAGACGCGGCCCTCTGTCGCCCCGCCCTGAATCTCTGAACACAGTCTGAATCTCATCACATGAACAAACCTGCTTTACATCATCCTCATATCTTACCTCATATTTACACATCAAGAACAGTTGCATTCACTGTCATCTGTTTATATGAAATACGGCACTATTTATGGACGTTATTAAATGAATTTTTTTTTTTTAACTCGTATCCATTCATCTGAGAAGTGCATGAAATGCAATTAATTCAGGCTATCAAAAAGGCTAAAATAAGGATTTATAACTTACTAAATACAATTAATTAATTGATTTAAACAAATAAACACAAACAATGCCAGGTTAGCTGCCAAGCTAGTTATTTTATTTCAGCTAGTTTCCAAAGCAACATTTCGAATTTTTATTAAATTTATCTTGAACTAAAATAATCAAAACAGGAATAAAAATTAATAAAGCTATATAGACAACTAATACAAATTATGGAAACACAACAAAATTACTAAAACTTCAGTTTAAATGAAAACACAAAAATAAAAACTATTTCAGAATATTAATAAAAAAAACATAAAAGTATCTCAGTGATACTGTTTTTTTTAGTTTTTTTTTACTTTTATTAATATGCTGAACTCATTTTTATTTTATGTTTTCTAAAATTTCTAAATTTTAGTTAAAGTTTTGCAATATTATGTTGTTGTTTTTTAAGTTAAAGTTTTGCAATTTTGTGTCAATTTCATTCGTTTTTTAAGTGCCTATATAGTATTCATTCATTTTTATCTTAGTTATTTTAGCACATCGAGACAAACTAAATGAAAATGAGAAATGTTGCACTGGCATGTTACATTTTTTAACAAATATTATTTTATTCCTATTCTATTCTATGAAAACAGCTTTCCGTTTCCAGACCAGAGCTCAAATAAGGTAATAATAAACAGAATCCAGGTACTTACATGTGCAAAACCTCACTGAACATGCCTGGATTTTTCACCTCCATCGCTTATATTTCTTCTCGGTTCTTCACAATTCTAATGTGTGAAAAAACATCTAATTAAACATATTGAAAGAGTCATATGAACAACACAAACTTAATGGGCTAGTGAACAAACACTGAAGATTGAAGAACTGACCCATTAACCATCACAAACATCATAAATAAGCGGGTCAGACTGCTATTGGCTTTATTTAGAAATCTCAAACTCATAATGAAGTGCAGTTTTCATCTTATATTGTGATTCATCAGCAGGACAGGAGACAGAGACAGACAGCAACAGAGGCGCCCAGCCAATCAGCGTCCAGCTTCCCCTCCTCTTTTTTTTCCTCAGATGAGAACTGCTTTCTGATTGGCCGGTGATGGTTTTATTGTTACATTGTATGTGTTAATGTGCGTATTTGTAGCAGCAGCTGCAGTAGCTAAATCTGAGCGCTGTCGCTCTCTAGTGGCCTAATGTAAAAACTACTTCATGCTAAAGGAGTATTTCCCTCACAAATTATCATTCTGTCATCATTTACTCATCCTCATGTCGTTCAAAACCCCTAAGACTTACTTTCCTTCTTCTGTGGAACACTAAAGCTGATGTTTAGTACAATGTTCACGCTGCTTTTTTACATAAAATGAAAGCAGACAGTGATCCGGAGCTGTTCACGTTCAAAAACACCATGAAATCACATTGGATCAAAATCAAGTTTTATTAGAGTATCATAACAGTGGTACATACACAAGTGTTTAGCAACGCGAGACTTGAATGTGCGAGACTTCCGCATTTAGCTTCGCAGTAATAAACAGGAAAATTAATGAAATAAAAATAAAAAAAATACCAGTTTTAAATATCAAGCAGCAAAGTTAGAAATAAGGTGGATGTTGTGTGTGTGTGTGTGAGAGAGCGAGAGAGAGAGAGAGAGAGAGAGAG